TAATTTTTAAGGAAGGAAACTAGATTGAGTTCAGGGAAGAGATCACATTTAGATAAATACCATTTTGTTCAACCTCATTGCAGGGGAAACGTTTTTCAAACGTATCTTCAGTTGATATCCCTTCCATATTAAGTGGCTATTTGGCAACTATCTGTAAATGAGGCCCCGCCTTCTTCAGCAGATGACAATAGCTGTGCAGTCTGGAGGGAGCCCAGGAGGCAGAGTGGGGGATGGGGGGGCCGTCAACTGCGAGGTCCGCAGCTCTAAACCACCAGTGGCTCTGAGGGAGACCGAGGAGACTCTCTCCTCCCCACAGAGCTAGTCTCAGAAACCCCTGGGGCAGTGCTCCCTGGCCTGGCGTCCCATGCGTCTGAATCAGCACAGTGGCAGTGGCAGTGAGTCAGCCCTGTGTCTGCCCTACATTTGAATGCCTCACACTGCCTAGCCCAGAGTTAGCACTCGGTGTTAGCTAGTGGATTGCACCAAATAGAAATTCAATCCCTTGAGCCCACGGTGATACTTGAAACAAAGAGGCTGACTATATTTGTATGGTCCTTCATTTTCATCTTTAAGGATTAAAAAAGTAGGTTGTAATTAACCCTAACTATAATACAACTGAAAGAAGCCCTGATGGTGCTGTGGATATGCATTGGGCTGTGAACCACAAGGTCAGCAGTTCGAAAGCACTGGTCACTCCCTTGGGAGAAAGATGAGGCTTTCTACTCTCATAGTCTCGGAAACCCACAGGGGCAGTACTACCCTGTCCTATAGGATCACTATGAGGCAGCATCGACTTGATGGCAGGGCGTTTATTTATTTAGTAATGCAGTGTAAATTCGTTCAACAATATAAAGGGTCATATACCACCGGGAGGGACGCAGAGGGAGTTACAGAAACGTTTATATGTTAATATCGAATGTTTGCAGGATATTTACAACGGAGGAGCTGGCTCAAGCAAGGGCGTTAGTAGTGCATTTCGCTACTGATTCTTTTGCTTCATTTGCAACTCGCCTGTCGCTGGGAAGCTGTGGTGGTTGTTCTTGCCTGCTTTTCTGTGCTGGTTCGTTGCCTCAGCAAATGAATCACAAAGCTAGAGGGGATGGTGAAGAATAAGCAGGCTCTCTCACTCCTTACATCCATAGGGGGGAAATCAGTCATCCTTCAAACGCCGCCGTCTTAAGTACAGATTGTAAGGGTTTTGGTTGGTTGGTTGGTTGGTTGGTTGGTTGAACCAGGGGTTGGCTGTCTAGACAACTGTTTTCCATTCAAACGATTCCCTCCATAACCCCTAGGTTAAAGCTGGCCTCTGGGTAAATCTGATGACCAGTTCGTAATTACAGAAAGCTTGCCTGCTTGGGCTGCAGTAGATTTTAACCCGTGCCATTTAAACAGCCACAGTTTACACTTCTCTCAGTGTCTTCTGGGCTGGCCAGCTGCAGACCAGCACGCTGTCTGTACTGCAGAGGGCAGTTGGACTCTGTCTGAGCTCTTTATGAGAAAACAGCTTTTCCCCTAACAAAGGGAAGCAGCAGGGGCTTGGGGTGAGAGAGGAGGGAGGCCTGTGGAATCCCGGTCTCCCAGTGTTTGTATTCTTGCCGCCACTAGGCCCTGCTGGCAGGTCCCATTTCCCTGCCTTCCACGTGTCCTGGCAGGGAGCAGGTGGGGAGGGGAGGAGTCATCCGCCCACACGGGAGTGGGGAGCACACACCCTAACCATGTTGAGCCCTTTTAAAAAATGTGTGCTCTGGCCACCCCATTGACAAAGCCGCTTCCAATCTATCATGAGATAATACCTAGTAATGGGCGTTAATTTGGTTCCTAAAGGCTGTGTTGCACCCTGGGGTGCACCACGCAGCACCTTTATGTCACCTGTGCTCCCCTCGCACATGGTTCCTTCTGCCAGAGTAGGGAAAAGCACACAAACACCAATCTACCAGAGAGAGAAAAGTCATCCTCTCTTCATTTCATTTTCCCATGAACTTTTTGCAGCCTCCTCCTACTTCAAAAACTGGCAGGTCAGAAATACTCCCATTGCAGGTGTACCTGTCCATATCCCCTCCCTAGCTTTCTGTCGCTTGGAAGGAGGTTTCGATCTATAGGCTCTGAATGATGGGGCAGTCTGGAGGCAGTGTACAGAGGTGGTGGTAGTTGAATGTACGAGAAATGTGACCCTTCCGGGCTCACAGCTGGTATGAATGAGTGGCGCTATAGGGAGTGGCCGCTGCCCCTCCACCCAGCACCCTAATCAACGGGTGCGACGCAGTGAGAAGCATAGCATCCTGAGGTCGGCCCGAGGAGCCACCGCAGTCTGTCACCTCAGAAGGGAAGCTGTTGTGAGAAGAAGGGATGGTGTGGAGGTGGAGATGGAGCCCGCAGGTGGGTGACGCCAGCGCGGGCCAGCCACTGTCATTGTTCCCATTGCCAGGCAGTGCCCTTGCCCTCGTCTCCTTGGAGATCGCGATTGGCCTTGACTTTGTCAGCCTCCCAAAGGAGGTTTGGTTCCTCACCACACACTTGGATGATCATCCAGGGAGCCCTGGCGTCCCGCTGCCCTGTTCAGAGTTGTGGACCCAGCCATGGCTTTGCAGTGGAGTCTGGCCTCTCAGCTGCAAACAGGCTAAGGTTACCCGAGGGTTCTGGCAGGCTTGAAGCTGAGTGCCCATAGCTTCTTCCCATAGCTTTATCACCTTCTTGCTTCAGCCAATTAAAAGCCCTCTCCTTATAGCCCTATCTTCCCAGTTGGTTTCTTCAGCTTTTAGCTCGATCTGAAGAATAAAATGAGGGTAGCGTTTCACAGGAGTTACGCTCTGGGCAGGCTCCCAGCCTGCCGTGGGAACAACCTCACCTGCTCCCAGCCAGGCTCGGTCACCACCCTGGTCACTCTGCTGGACTTCTCAAAGGACTTCAAGATCAGCACAATGCCTAGCTCCCTCCCTGATGGCCAGTTCTCACTGCCAGTGAGTCGATGCCAACTCATAGCGACCTTATAGGCCCAGGTAGAACAGCCCCGTGGGTTTCTGAGATGATGGCGCTGGACAGGTGTAAGAAAGCCTCATCTTCCTACCAGTATTTCAAACTGCTGACCTTGCTGTGAGCAGCCCAGTGCTTAGCCAAAGTCACTGCTGCCCGCTTGGTTCTAAAACAGTTGGGAAATAAACAGCTATCTGCTGTTGAATGGATACTGACCCAGAGTGACCCCATGTTCAACAGAATACTGTGTTACCCACCTTCAATCTTCGAGATCACTGCACGCTCGCATCCACTACTGCGCTCACTGCCCTTCCTGGAAACTCATCTTCCTGTACTGTGCCGCACAGGGCACCGCTGGGAGCCATAGGCTTTTCATTAGCCATTGTCAGCCTTACGTCCCGCGGCACGCTTGCTAGTCTGTCGCCGTCTAGAAGCACCACTGAAACCTGCCTTCCATGGGTGATCCTGTGGCTGTTTGAAATCCTGGTGGCCTAGCGTCCAGCATCCCAGCACCAGACAGGCCAGCACAGCACGCTGGACTGACAGACGGGGAGGTCTGAAGATGGATGCACCCTCCACTCCTATCCACCACGCCACTGCTTCCTGTCGTCCTTCCTCACCCGCTTCCACTTCTCTACAGACCACCAGCATCACCCGCCTGCCGATCTTCCAGCCTTGATCTTCCAGCCTCGCCCCTCGCTGGACCCCTGCTGTCTCCTGCTCCCCCTGCTCCTATCTCTTGCTCCGGGCAGCCAGGATGCTGCAGTTTAAATGAACGTAAATCTGCTGATTCTGCCCGCCTCCGACTCCTGCCTTGCAAACCCTGCATGGGGCTTCTTTCACACACAGGACCTAAGCAAAACCCACTCAAGATGCCCTAGGCAGCCTGGCCCACCTGAGCCCTCCAGCCCTCCTCTCCTTTGCCCGCTCCTTTGCCTGGCTTCCTAACACCTTGAGTCCAGCAGGCTTCCTCCCAGCCCAGCACCCCCCGCACCTGTTGCCTCCTCTGCCTGGGATACTCTCACTACCCCTACAGCCCCCGGCACCTCCCCCGACAGCTCTCAACCCCAGACTCCTTCCTCAGGACCAGCCCCCCTGGGTCGCCTTCCTTGAGAGCCCTGGTGCCCCGGTGTAGAATAACTTCAGATCCAGACCACCCTCCGTGCGGGGTCTTGCTAGATTGTCAACCAGACTGATGGCCAGCACAATGCCTGGGAAGAGTCCAGTGGGCATTGGGTCATTTCCTAAAGGAGTGAAGCCAGGCAGGCAGGTATATGTTACTCGTTATAAAGGACAATGCTTAGGGCACAACATGAGAAAGGTTTCACACAGAAAGGGCTGTATTTTTTTAAAATGTGTGAGCAGACTAATGGGATCAGACTTACGGTAGTTTGAGGGATTTTCAGTGTGTCTCTGAGGGAAACGTGAGGGTGTTAGCATGGCAAGAAGGAGCCCTGGGAGCGTGATGACTACAGGCCTGGATGCAAACGGAAGGGTTGGTGGTTTGAACCCAACCTGGAGATCAGCTCCTGCTCTGTTCCCTGGGTCCCTCTACTCTCTCCCCTGGCTCCTTCTACTCTCTCCCCTGGGGTTCTTCTATTCTTTCCGCTGACTCCTTCCACTCTGTCCCCTGGGGTCATTTACTCTGCCCCCTGGGTCCCTCTACTCTGTCCCCTGGGGTCATTTACTCTGTCCCCTGGGTCCCTCTCCTCTGTCCTCTAGGACAGAGATTGCTGTCCATTAGAGTTAGTCCGTCGCACATGGCAGCTGTAGTAATAACAATCCCATTTCTGAATTCTCCAGCGTTCTCTGATACGTTCTTTAGCCACTTTCTCCTCGATATACTTTCATCGTGATAGCAGCCTGTCACCTGTCGGACTTTAGCTGAGTCTCGGGGGGTTGGGGGGGTGTGATCTATCGTTGTGGTTGTGTCTTTATCTTTTGTTTTCCTTGAACGGATTGCTATGTGCCTAGAATTCGGAACAAAGAAACTCGCTTACTGATGGCCACCTTGTTATCTGCACTTTCAGGTTCACTACAATGTTGGCAAAAACCTGGCTGACAATGGCAACCAAACAGCTGCCATCCGCTATTACAGAGAAGCTGTAAGGTACTGCACGCAACCTGTCTCCACGGGGAAAGGTCATGGCCACAAGGGCAAGTCCAAAATATGGCTACAGGATCACAGAACCCCTTATTAAACAAAGATAGCAAAACGTGAAGCTAGATTTTCCTTGACATCCGGGTCAGACCCTGCTGAAGGTCCCGCGCCCATCTCTCGACCCCTCCCCCTGCTTCTGGAATTGCACCGTGCAGAGATGGCATCCTCATGGGACTCAAAGCCTGGTCTTTGTCAATGTTCTCTGAGATCTGTGAACAAAGAGAAGGCTGAAGGAGCAAAGTCAAGGCTGTAGGGTGAAGGGAGTTAGGATTCCCATTGAAATTCTCATAGGACAGCCCTGGCTAGCCTCAAAGTAGGAGCAGGCGCCTTGTCGTGATGGGAAAATGGAATTCCTCAGTGCAGCTCGCCCGGCCATTTTCCTGCCAAGGCCATTTTCAGTGGTCTTAAGGCCTCATCCTTACAAAGCCCCTCGGATTGTGTTGTGCCGAGAAAACCTGTCAAGATTTCCCTTTAGGGATTCCCCCCAAAACAGTCACCAGAACCTTCTGAGCTGCTCTCCTGCCTCAGTCTCCCTGGCCCCACAGACCCCCACAGTGGCCGCGGTGTTGATTGGCCTGGTTGTTTTTGAAGGCAGCTCAGGAAGAGTAAGACAAGTGTAACTCTGAAAGAACTTGTCTCATCACAGAAACATGTGCAAACATGTTTTGTTGGGAATCGATCTGTGCAGGGATCCCCTGAAACCCCAGTGGCCGTACTTCCTGACCGACCCTCATATCCTTATTCTGTTTTAACTTCTCGGAATTAAAACCTGTTTCCTTTAAGGCCCCACCTTTAAGATCTCTCTGCCAGTCCCTGAGCATTTGGTGAAAACGACCAGGCCCTCACAGCTGCCTTGTGTTCGCTCTCCACTTCCAGGTTAAATCCCAAGTATGTTCATGCCATGAATAACCTTGGAAACATCTTGAAGGAAAGGAACGAGCTGCAGGAAGCGGAGGAGCTGCTGTCTTTGGCTGTGCAGATACAGTAAGCGTTGTCTGTGGGACTGTGCTAGAAACAAACAAACAAGGTCCTGCACCCCCTGACCCGAGTCTGGCTTTTTTTGTTCTTTTCTTTCCCCACGTTTATCTTTTCATCATGTTTCCCCAGGCCAGACTTCGCTGCTGCGTGGATGAACTTGGGGATCGTGCAGAACAGCCTGAAGCGGTTCGAAGCAGCCGAACACAGTTATCGGACAGCCATCAGACACCGCCGAAAATACCCCGATTGTTACTACAACCTGGGGCGGTTGGTAAGCGCAGGATGCTCTGGCTGCTGTGGGTGAAAAGGTGTTCTTTCTCTCTTTCAGACTGAAAATGGCAGTCAGAACACATCTAGCACTCTACATAGTCCACATTACTTTTACATGTGTTTATCTCACTTTGTAAGTTACTCTATGGAGCCCTGGGGATGTAGTGGTTATGCATTGGGCTGTGATCCGCACAGTTGGCAGTTCAAAACCACCAGCAGCTCCAAGGGACAGACTTTCTACTCCCATAAAGAGTGACAGTCTTGGAAACTCGAAGGGGCAATTCCACCCTGCCCTCTGGGAATGCTATGAGTTAGGATAGACTCGATGGCAGGGAATGGATGAATGATCATAAAATCCACAGTGATACCTCGGTTGTCAAGCAGCCCAGAGCTGGAACTTTCCACTACCCAAACAGCCACGCTCAAAAATATCTGCTCCGTGTTCATAACGTCGAACCAAAAATCCAACTTACAAAAACCTGTCCTCACCGAGAGTGAGTCCCAAGTTGTGTCGTGCCTCGAAGACAGAGAGGTGACGCTTCCGTCTAAGTGCAGTTCTTGCACAGAAAACATATAGTGCTTGTGTTAGTGGATTAAAACATTCGTCTCTGGGTTGCGTTTTTTTGTACTTTATTTGCATAAAATATCGTAACCATGGCTCCAGAGAAAGTTGGTGATATCAGCCACTTTAACTAAAGCTAAGGGGAAAACTGAGTGAGCCACGATAGAGTTAAGGAAAGAAAGCATTGTGAAAGTTGAATCGGGTGCCACTTGTGTGATTTGGTGGCTGAATACAGCCTGGATAAATCGACATGATAACGTGGTGGGGGAAGCAAAACCGCTCATGGACTGAAAGGAGTGAAATCCTTAACCAGGAGTCAAAGAGCCCAGACCGTCGAAGAGGTTGAAAAGTTACTGTTAATTTGGATAAGTCAGAAACAACTTGCAGGAGATAGCATATCTGAAACAGTGATGTGAGAAGGCTAAAAGCCTCCATAGTGATTTAAAATCCAGGAAAAATTAATTTATAAATGTAGTTTGGGGCCCTCAGAACCAATTATTTGGTTTTCCATTTTTCCTATGGGAAAAATATGTTCCGTTCTCAAATTGCTCAATGTTCAAACATGAATTTGGAACAAATTGAGTTCCAAATGAGGTTATCACTGTATAATATAATATATGTAAATACATGTGTTACGCTCTAATGAGAGAACAGTCTCACTCTAGTTAGTAATATTTACAAGGTAACAAAAGCAATAGGTTAAACTAAGGAATAAATTAAAGAAAAATTTAAGTCTCCTAAGCCTGCCGTACAAGACCCAAGGGGTAACTTCGTGATAAACGTCGGTTTTTCTGTTTTTAAAGCAGGGACTGGATCAAAGCCAAGATAAAGGAAACACATCCTGGGTGTGGTTTCTGCACTTCTCTTATTCTCCTTCGTCAAGGGGTCTGCGCCTTTGATTTTCTTGACAACGAGAATGGGATAAGACTGCTTTCAAGACTGCTGACCCCCACCCATCTACCAACCCTGTCGTGTGGTCTCAAGAAACCACACGCATATGTTGCTGCTGCTGCTGCTGCTGGCTGCCATCAGCCGGTCGGCCCCTGACTCATCTGGCCGTGTAGAACTAAGTGATATGCGGCCTCTGTGGATGTGACCGGTGTAATCCCTGCTGCTTTCGTTCATTGATTTCTGGGAGTAGATCACCAGGCACTTCTTCCTAGTCCATCGCGGTGGGAAGGCTCTGCTGAAACGTGCTCAGCACCGTAGCAGCACGCACACCTTAATTGACAGACGGATGGCGGCTGTGTCTGAGGTGCAGCTGTGAGGGATCGAACTCGGGTCTCCTGAGTTGGTGGTGTTAGGTGCCATCGAGTTGGTTCTGACTCACAGAGACCCCATGGACAACAAAACGAAATAATGCCCAGACTGGGCCATCCTCCCCTTGTTCCTGTGTTGGAGCCCATTGTTGCAGCCACTGTGTCACCTGTCTTGTCAAAGGCCTTCCTCTGTGTCGCGGCCCCTCTACTTTATCAAGCACCATGTCCTTCTGCAGGAACTGCTGTCTCTTGACAGCACGTACAGTGGAGGTGAGACCAAGTCTTGCTACGCTTGCCCCTAAGGAGCACTCGGCTGTATTTCTTCCAGGACATATCGATTTGTTCGTTTGCCAATCTGTGACTCTTTCAATATTCTTGGCCAGCACACCGCAATTCAAACGCATTGATTCTTCTTTGGTCTTCCTTATTCAGTGTCCAACTGTCACATGCATATGAGGCGATCGATAAGATCATGGCTTGGGTCAGGCACACCTTAGTCCTCAAGTAACATCCTTGCTCTTCAATACTGAAAAGAGGTCTTGTGCAGCAGATTTATCTGATCCAGTGTATCATTTGATCTCTTGATTTCTGCTTCCATGAGCATTGATTATGGATCTACGCAAGATAAAATCCTTAACAACTTCAATCCTTTCTCCATTCAGCATGATGTTACCAACTGGTCCCCTTGTGAGGCTTTGCGTCTTCTTCACATTAAGTTGTGATCCATGTTGAAGGCTGCAGTCCTTGGTCTTCAGCAGCAAGGGCTTCAGGTCCTCCTCATTTTCCGCAAGCAAAGTTGTGCCATCTGCATATTACACATTGTTAATAAGCCTTCCTCCAGTCCTGATGCCACACTCTTCTTCACATCAGCCAGCTTCTCTGATGATTTGCTCAGCACACAGATTGCATAAATATGGTGAGGATACACGCCTGGCACACACCTGTCCTGATTTTAAACCATGTGGAACCCCTTGTTCTGTGCACACGACTGCCTCTTGAGCCGTGTGCAGTTCTGCATGAGCACAATCAAGTGTTGCAGAAGCCCCGTTCTTCTCAAGGGGACCCATTGCTAATTGTCCAACAGATCTCGCTCGTAGAAGGCGAGAATTCTGCCACCAAGCCACCTCTGCATTGTGGTGCTGGAGAAGAACTTTTGAAGTACCATACACTGCTAAAAGGACAAACAAAATGGTCTTGGAAGAAGTACTGTCAGAGTGCTCCTTAGAGGCAACATGCTTTGGACTTGTTGTCAGGAGAGACCAGTCCGAGAGAAGGACATCATGCTTAGTGGAGGGACAGCGAGAGAGGAAGACCTCGATGAGATGTCCCTGCAACAAGGGCTTCAAGCATGGGGAAAATCATGAGGATGGCACAGGACCGGGCAGTGTTGTTTCCGTTGTGCATAGTGTTACTGTGCACAGTCACCGTCATGGCACCCAACAACAAACCACTCTTGCCCCTAGACATGGTTCTGGTATATTGTGCTTCTTAGGCAGAATGACTGAGGGGAAATCTCTTTGTTCATGTGAGCTACCCTGGCCTAAGAGGGACCGCAGAGATTTCCTGGGAAAATCCCATTACCTTTTAATTCCATTTCACAGACGTTTTGAAGTCATGCAAAGTCAGAGTCGCCTCAGCCGACAGCAGTATGCTTGGGGTGTTTCGGGGTTTGGCATTTGGGGAATATATAAAGGAGAAGGCCTAGTAGCACAGTAGTTAAACCCTGAGATCAGTGGTTCGAACTCGACAGCTGCTTCAAGGAGAAAGGCATGGGGGGTTGCTTCTGTAACAATTGCAGCCATGGAAATTCCACGGGGCCGTCCCGCTCTATCTGATAAGGTCACTGCATGTCAGACAGCCATGGGTTTAGGTGCTGAGACTTCCAGATTTTGTCGAGTCTGTTAGCATCGCAGTTCTCCAACCGAACTGCCCATCTGTTTGCATTTTAAAGACCTGGAGTCTCTTGGGGTTCCTGGGTCCTGGGATTGTCAAAACCAGTGGTTCCCAAAGCTGCTTATGCTTCCAAAGCATCCCAAATTCAGGAATCCAAATGCTCCATCCAGAATCTATTTAAACCAAACTCCCCCAGTGCTTCCCAGTCCCTGCCCTGCCCTTCTCCCTGTGGGAGGCAGGTCAGCCTGAACATTGACTCAACAGGCCTGACCGGGTCAGAGCCCAGGGCACAGTAGGGGGAGAGCATCCTAGAAAGCATGGACTGCTTTAGGGGTTGAAAGCCTGGCTTCCATTGCCACCATGACATGGATGACTGTTTGTAGTGTCTTTTGTTGCTCACCTGGGTAGCCATACCTCTGTGCTGGTAGAAAGGATTTTATTAATGGCGGCTTGAAGATGACAAGGACAGGTGACTAATCTTGCTAAAAGTTTCCTTCTCCCACTGGCAAACGTCACTTTCAAAGGAGCTAGATGATGCTGGTGTGAAAATGGTAAAGTAAAGTTGCTTGATGTTTTTATTATTTAAAATATGCAAGGCATTCTTTGGCTCTGCTATCTCCTAGGCAGGGACCATCTTGATATGCTGACTCTCATGTGCAAGTGCCAAATTATTTCTTCCTGGCCACAGAAAGAAGGGTGGCGGCAATGTGACCCAATCCCCAGAGCAGCAAGATGTTTGAACAAGGGAGATTGGATGGCAAGATACACAGGGGTCCCCTAGAAGCGTTCCTCAGAACCACTTGGCCTGGCATGCATTTTTGTTTCCTTTGATGTTGTAAAAGTCTGGGCTTTGTGACCTACTTGCAACCTTGGGTGTTGGGACAGCCATCTCTGTGAAGCCGGACGTGAGGAGAGCTCAAATATTCTCGTGATAAGGGGGAATATGGGAGGTCAGTAAACCTCAGCCTCGGCATCGAAGTAGAGACGCACATTATCAGTCGCCTGAAATCCAGGGCCAATCTTGAGAAAGGGAATGAATGGAGAGTGGGAGGCTCACTGGGCACTGCTGTTTCGGCTCACTTTGTCCTTCCAACCAGTGTACAGGAGCCCAGGCAGCACAGCAGGTAAGTGCTGAGCCTCGCACCAATCAGGTTGGCAGGTTCAAACCCACCCAGAAGCTCCAGGGGAAACTGAACTGGTCATCTGCTAGCATTAAAAATTACAGCCCAGAAAACCCTGTGGGCCAGTTCTACTCTGTCTCTTGGGCTTGCTGTGAATCCACTGGGG